GTAATGGCACCAAAACCTTAAGACCCTTCCACGTAATTTTTGAGGGCTGCAGTTGCTGCCTTTCATCCTCATGACTCCATCATTGGGGTATAGAGCCTCTTGCTCCAAGGGCTGCCTGGCCTGTTGCTGGGAAGCCTCCACAAACATCCCAGGTGCAATATTCAAATGGTGCGATGGTACCACTTGGTGCCTATGGAGCGGGCAGTCGAGCTGGTTCACAGATTGCTCCAGGAAGGGTGCCATAGGTGGGCAGGGTTTACCCCTCCCCCTATCTCCAGCCCTGACTCTGCAATCCACAGAAAATCCAGGATTTCAGATCACTGACCTTCCACCAGAACTGACAAAAATTGGACAGACAACTGGTTATTAAGAAAGTACGCAGGAAAGGGTGGGACAGGGAATTAGAGAACAAAAAGGACTTCTGCTGTAGAGAGATAATGGATTGCTGACTGACATGGAAGCAGAATGATGAGTCATACTGTGTTGAAGTGTACTGTTGCCATTAATGGTTTATGGTGAAGTAAAGCAATACATTTCGCAAGAAGACAAGTAATCTTTGGAGTCTTGTACAATTTTTCTTATAAAGCTCGGTCCCAAAGGAGCTCTGGCGTCATACAAACTTACTTATTAGGAGATGGAATATTTCCCTCCAAATAGCAGCAGTTCACAATGTTGCCTGGAAAATATCATGTGCTGTCAGTGGCTGAAGGCTTTCCTGATTTGGTAATGGTAATGTTGTCAGTGATGTTTGCCCACCGTTAAGTGGCAGCCTAAACACTGGATGCCACATGATACAATTGATTCCAAGACGCCAATACTTTTTTTTAATAGTGTATTTCTAGTCCTGGGTACACTCTGTAGCTGGAACACAAACATAACTATTGTGCAGTGAAATCCTCCTTAAACTGTCACACAGTATAAACATTCCCTAGTTTGCCTTTTAACCGCTCCAACTGGGTTAACAATGACTGGAGCATGGTGGGAGGTCACCTAAGAAGTCACTATATATTATAGTAGGGTATGGGAGCAAAACTATGATGTGTACTTCACAACTGTTACTGCAATGCATTTGGGGCATTTCAGCCCACACGCGCGCACCGACCCACACACGCAACCACACAGACAGACACTCACAGATGCACACTCGCACACAAACACCGACCCACACAGATGCTCACATATGCACATGCACGCATCCACATACACACACGCACACTCACATGCACAAACATGCATCCACACGTGCACCCACATGCACACTCAGATGCACACACATGCACACACACACAAATGTGCACCCATACTGTCACACACACACCCAGCCGCACACACGCAGATACACACACATCCAGCGACACACATGCACACACACACACGTGCACACATGCGCGTGCGCACACGCACATGCTCACACACTCTCTCTCTGTCTCTCTCTCTGTCTCTCTCTCCTTCTTTCTCTCTTTCTAAATTCAAGTCATCTTTTCAAACCTTACATATTATTCTGGAATGTAGATTGTATGAGCTGGGTTTTTGGCCTCAATTGGTGCCTGGATCAGAGGTGGGAGAGGTCATAATTTAGATCTGTATGCTAGTTCTCCAGCTCCATCCTGTGTTTGGAATGTTTTTGGAGAGGTGGGATCTGGGCAGGCAGCTGTTACAATTGAGAGATTTGTAAGATTATGTTTTAGGATTGCATCTTTAATTTAAGGTAAAATGAATGGGATCATGTGACTGGCTCTAACATTGGCCCTGACAGCAAACCCTGGGTGATTTGGTGGTTACAAGTTAAAAGGGGCCCAGATTTTTCTTACTGAGAAGAAGTTGCAAGGTGTTTACCCATGGACACAATTGGCAGCAGCCTGTGCGCTAACCATGGATATTCTATGAGGCTCCAAAGTCCCAGAAAATTGTTAAGAATATTGGGTTGTCAATAAGAGTGGTTTAAATTATCCATTTGCACTCTCAAGAATAGCTAATTAACATCTCCACGTGGAATATGAGGCCCTTGGAAATCTCATTGCCATGGATATGGGCATCAAGGAGGAAAGGATTTCTGTGATATCCCTGAAAACTATCAGGCACAGATAATCTGCTGGGATCTGAGAGGTAAAAGCAGCTAGAGCTCAAACATTTCTGTGGCTCACCATATCAGGATACTGGTTGAAGCTCGTGCTAGGAGTCAAAAGACCAATTTGTGAGGAGTTAAATCGAAATTGTAAGATTCACCCAGCTTGCCCAAGAGGGTGGATCTCTTGATTGATCAATTCATTTATTGTCACGTGTACTGAAATACAGTGAAAAGCTTTGTTTATGAGCAGTACAGGCAGATCATAGTAAGCAAAGCTTATACAGATCAAAAAGACTTAGACTGAGACATACAGATATATTGCACAGGGCATGAGCTAGGCAAGATCAACGTTAGCAAGATCAGCGTTGTTTGAGGCTAGAAAGTCCATTCATCAGTCTAATAAAGGCCGGGAAGAAGCTGTTCCTGAACCTGCTGGTGCATGTGTTCAGCTTCTGTATCTTCTGCCTGATGGAGGAGGTTGTAGGAGATCATTACCAGGATGCGATGGGTCTTTGATGATGTTGGCAACCTTTCCGAGGCAGCGAGCCATGTAAATGGAGTCCATGGATGGAAGGTTGCCTTCCGTGATGGTCTGGGCTGTGCTTACAACCTTCTGTAGTTTCTTACAGTCCTGGGCAGAGCAGGTGCCATACCAGGCTGTTATGCACCCGGACAGTATGCTTTCAATGGTGCGTCTGTAGATGTTGGTGAGGGACCTTATGGACATGCCAATTTTCCTGAGCTGCCTGAGGATGAAGAGGCAATGTTGTGCCTTCTTGGCTGTTGCGTCTACATGGGAAGTCCAGGATAAGTTGTTGGTTGTTGACACTCCGAGGAATTTGATGCTCTTCACCCTCTCAACCCCCATTTCTGTTGATGCAGATGGGGACATGTTCTCCTCCTTTCTTTCTGAAGCCAATGATCAGTTCTTCAGTTTTGACAATATTGAGAGAGAGGTTGTTCTCTGGTGGTACTGTCATATTGAAGGACAGCTCTGGGATTAGACATACTATCCTGAGAAAGGAAAAGATCAGAAGTACATCCTGATGATCTGAGAATCATTTTACACTGATTCCGATAGGAACTAATGTTGACTCAAAGGACAATGTAAAGTATACCTGATACTGGTGTTTTTGGTTGTACTGTAAATAAGAAAGGGGTATCGTGTTCTATATAGTAAACATTTGAACATCTGAAATAGAAGCAGAAATAGACAAGTCAGCCCCTTTAGCCTGCTCATTATTGAATGAGAGCATGGCTGATCTCTTTGCGTTTCAAATTCCACTTTCCCATCTACCCTCAATAAACTTTGATTCCCCTGACTAACAAGAACCTATCCACATCTGTCTTAAAAATATTCAATTATCCCAGCTCCACTGCCTTCTGACACAGAGTTCTGAGGTTACCCAAATCCTGAGAGCAAAAGGTTTCTCCTCTTCTCGGTCCTGAAAGGGAGACCTCTAATTTTAAAAACATTGCCTCCTAGTTCTAGGCTGACCCACAAAAGAAAACATCCTTTCCATGTCCAACTTGTCAAAATTATTCAGGCTCTGTCATTCTATTGTCAACTTTCCCATACACGCTGTTTCCCTTACTGTCAGATAGAAAATATATGGTGACAATACCCAACCAGAAATTGGGAGCAACTCCAGCTCACCGCCCACTCCTCTGGCCCTCTATCATAGACAGTAGTCACCAACATCTCAGGGCACTCTCCAGACGTTGACTTTGGAAATGTGTCAGCTTCTTCCCATCACAGCGCAACTCTGATCCACTTACAGCACAGTTCTGCACTTCATTGCAATGCTGCTGCAAGGAGGCCAACACCCACCTCAGGGATCACACCAGGTCCATGGCAGGCTGCTCCTTTGTTCTTAGAATGCGCTCACTCTACGCCAACTTTGTGCTCGCAGCATCTCTCTCTGGCCTGGTCTTTTTGTGCTTTGCCCCAACTGTCAGAGCTGAAAGACTCTGAGTATTCTCACGCCTTGCCTTTTAGCACAGACACAAGGCCGGGCATCTTTTCTATGGTTGTCAGCAACCTTCAGGCAAGGGGGTGAGTGACCTGCACTATGCCAAGTCAATGTCACACCTGTGCCACGTACCAGCAGCTTCTGCAGCAAACACACTGCATGTGCTTCAACCAAATAGCCATGTCTCAAAATCTAAAGGGAGTAGCCCTCTCTGAAGTAGAGAGACGCCTTTCAGTCAGAGAATCCTGGCACAGCCAGTCCAGAGCAACCTCCGATATCAATCTAGAGACTTGCGGGGGGAGCAAGTCAGCCGCTTGGGATGGTCATGGCAGGAGCCTCTCTTTTAGGCCGAGATACTGACTGTCAGCCAGCCCACCATTTACCCAGGCTCTTTCTGCCATATTGTTAACCTTTTCCTCTTGGAATGAGGCACAGAGAGGAATTGAGTGAGATGAAAGTTTCTGGTGCAGCCAGTGCAGATGGGGAAGAGGGAATTAGGGGTGCCGAGTGTGAGAGTAGGTAGTGCAGGGGCCGTGCATGCAATACCGTGGGGGGAATTGGCTGGGTGTGAGCGAGCAAGGTAAGATGTTGCATGTGAGAGTGACAGCCTGAGCTGTGGGAGGAGGAAGAAGATATAGCATGTGAGGTAGCAGCAAGGAATAGTAACACTTCCCTTTGCAGAACAGAGAAGGTCATTGATGGTCTTCCAGCATTGCTGAGCCTCCGTTGGACCTTCCACACAGCACTGAGCCACGGGGGAAGCTCCGAGCAGCCTGGCAGCATCTGGTGCTGTTGTCTCCTCTGCTGATCCTGAAGGAAGAGGTTGGCCCCCTTTGGGCTATCCAATCCTCCAGGTCACTGTCAGCAAAGCAGGCACCAATTTCTCTTTCACCAGGCAATTGATAGGAACCGTGCAGGGCAGCTCCAGCCCTGACCAATTGCACGGCTGGGCCCTAAAAATGGCCCTGGTGTGTCAGGAATCCCAGGAGGCATCGGCAGTGACAAGTATTTCCGCCCACAAAGTGGGCAACTGCAACGAGTAGTATGCTATAGTGTGTGGAGCATGGGTAATGGGGAAAGTTTGTGACGATAGCTGAGAAATCTTGCTAGGCCTCGGGGAGAGAAACCGTCCAAGAAGCTTGCCAAAATTGACTCTTAGCCAATAGCTAGTAAAATTCGGCCCTGTGTTTTTATTGATCTAAAGCACTAGTCTGGTATGCCAGCCTACTTCAGGCAGCTCAGCTTTCATGCCCACATGGTTGACCTTATTAAAGTTTAAAAAGCTAGCCTTGGACCCGATCTTCTCCTTTTCAAGCTGGATCTACCACGCAATCATGTGGTCACTACTACCCAGAGGTTGTTAATTAAACCTTTCACATTACATAATACTGAGTCCAGTATAACTTGCTGTCTAGTCATTTCCAAAATGTGCTGTTATAGGAAACTATCTCAAAAGCATTCTATGAACTACTTATCAAGGCTACCATTGCCACTGTGTTGTTTTATGTTTATATGTGGTTTAAAGTTACCATGATTATTACTGTGATAAAAAGGTGTACAGCTCGATGAACACAGCAGGCCAGGCAGCATCAGAGGAGCAGGAAAGCTGATGTTTCGGGTCTGGACCCTTCTTCATCTGTCCCTTCATCTCAGGCACTCAGTATTTCTGCTTGTATATTCTGTCCCACATTTCGGTTCCTGTTAGGGGGCATGTGAACCACACCCACTAGTGACTTCTTTCCTTTAGCATTCCTCATCTCTACTCAAATTGATTCTACACCCTGTCGTCTTGAATCTAGGCCATCTCCAACTGTTGTACACATGCCATCTTTGATTAACAGTGTTAGCCTTCTACCATTACATGGCTTTGTATTTCTCTTGAATAGTGAGGGCTATCTGATATTCAGGACCTAATTCTTGAACCTGTGTTGCCGTAATGGTTGTCAGATCATGTTATTTACTTAAACATGCTGTACGCATTCAGATTCGGAACCTTTAACTTTGTCTTTTGTAACACTTAGTCTTGATTGTTGGTGTATTCCTGACTTTTTTTCTCTGTCTGCTACTTGCTGCCATTCACTGATCCTCATTGCCCATATTACTATTTTCTCTCCTGTGACAACTCTTTGATATACTAAGGGTGGAAATGTATAGGTGTCTGAACAACGCGGCTATGGCAAGATTTGTGGCAGAATCGGGCAAGAAGTCTGGCACGGTACATCTCGATGTTGAGAGGATCTTGCTGCATCTTTAATGGATTTGCTGGGCAGCAAAAGTGATTTTCTCGCTAGGCAGTGGTGACGTGCCAGTTAAGGGGGATTATTGCTTGTTAAACACACTAATGGCACAATTCACCTCATTAATATTCATCTTATCAAATATGCAAAAAAATGCTGGCCTTCGAGATATTGTGACACAATGCTAGGATTGTTCAGAGCAATGGCTTACATGTGGTTTGATAAAGTGCACTGAACTGGATGATGAATAACTGGTGAGCTGTAAGGAATTGGGCCTGTCTTTGGCTGGTGAATAATTGGGAGCTGAGGGAGAAGGAATGGAGTACTCACTTATTGATGATCATTTCTCACAGGGAACTCCTGTTCTTTAACTTGTCATCTTGTTTCTTCTGTAGGTCACTTTACGGCAATGATCTGGAAAAGCAGCAAGAAGCTGGGCATTGGGAAGGCCTCGGCTTCCGATGGCTCCACGTTCGTAGTTGCTAGATATTTCCCAGCTGGCAACATCATGAACCGGGGCTATTTTGAGGAAAATGTTCTGCCTCCAAAGAAGTAAATTTGTAAAATTTGAAAAGGACTGTAGATTCCATCAATGGTAAAGAATGAAGGATATGAACTCTTGGACATTCACCTGTATCACTTATCGCCCAATGATTTGATCCTGCAACATCTTCCTCATACACATCCTCATATAATGCTTAAAAGGACTTGTTGCTGATGCATTTGTTGTACCTTATTTAGAAATTACAAAACATATGAAATGGGGCAAAATGAGACACCAGCCTATTGTACGTCACTCCCTGCTACTGCACACCCCCAGCTACCCGTACTTTGGATAATAATAACTTAGAGCAGCGGGTGGCAATTTAGGGCTTGGATGAAACATCATTTTCATTGAGTACATCATCCTTTTGCAGCCTTACCAAGATCTCATGCTATCATAACTTGCAGGTTACTTTTAGTAATTCAGCAAGTCATTTATTCTTCCGTTCTTGGTCATTTTGTAGGCCTTTCACTTGACTAGCTATTACACACATATTCACCATAGCCCTATATGTTATTGGGGATATCCAACTATGGGAAAAGTATAAGGTATCGCAGCTTAGACAAACCTTGACCTCAGCTACATCAGCACATCTTCACCTCCATCTGGGAGCAGGGACAGTGATGAGGAATGGCTGATTTCTCTGAGGCAAAATGCAGCATCTTTAGTGCAATCTTACCCCTGTTCTTTCTGAGATCAGGTTACTCCACAGAGGGTCCCAAACCAGGGATTGCAGGCTGCAAGTATTAACTGCCCAATCTGTTGGTCCAAAGAGGAGCAAGCTTGTATTTAATTTTTTTTTAAATCAGATATGCCCTTGTTGATTATATGGTGTAAATTGGCTGAACAGGAATGGTATTGAAGCTGTCCACCATTGTATGAAATAAAATCAACACCATTTCCAGTTTTTAGTGAGAGTCCAGATGGCTGTGTTACAGAAATGTGTAGGTTCTTGAAGTGGCAACGGCAGCAGGATCAGAAGAGTTTTTGAAGGCTGCCATAGCGCTTTAAGATAATCAGACTGTGTTTTCAGATTTAAGGTAAATATAGTAACAAATCAACATTCCCACCTTATTCTTAGTTTGGTTTGAGAAAATGTTTTTAATGTTCATATTTTTGCCGGCTGTGTTTCTGGTTGACCACTGATATTCTCCAGCAAAGCAAACACAGAACTAAACTACTAAGGCATCAGCAACAATATACTTCAAGAATGGCCAGGAAGTAGTGGAATTAAAGTGAATGGTGACTATCGTAAAATTACCTCATAAGCTTTCCATTTCCTACTACAAACGGCCTAAAGAGGGATTCAATTCTATGTGGCACTCAGTGGCTCCAGTTAATAAGTAACAAAAATCACTCAACCAGGAAATGGAAGTTGGATTGGTGGAGATGGGACTTGAAACTCTCCATATTTTGGTTGGTTGTGCAACATTCAACAATCAATTGCATGAGGGCCTGGGAGTTTGATTTCTCAAAACCAAAGCATGTATAAAATATGATGGGTTCCTAACCAGTAGGAAAGAAAACAAGTTGGGAAAGAAGCAAATTTACAAAGCTCTCTGACGTTAGGATTAGGATCTTACTGCAAACTTTCAGGGAAGGACACTGATCAAGGAATGAAAATTCATTTCATGTATCTTTCATAAAATATTCAATTAAAACCATTTCATGATGGCTGAGAGGTTTGGTTTTGATGAGCTATTCAAGCTTCTTTTCCCACTGGCTGCAATTGCATTAGCTCTCATTTCTTTAAATGTAGAATCTCCCATTTATGTTTTTATACCACTTTAGGGTGCTTTCATTGCAAAGGAAAGAAGTGGTCTTGGTATAAATGGCTCCACATTTTATTTAACACCATTACTATTAACATTTGTCTTTATGAAACTTGAATGCTGTACACTTTATTCTATAATGGAACATATTAACACTATGGAGACTAATTTACAAATGTGCATATTCAAGACTGAGACCAAAAATTTTTGAGTTCTAAGAATAGGGCAGGAAAGCAGAGTCACCATGCTGTCATTGTATAGCAGAACAGGCTTGAAGGGCTAAATAGCCAACTCCTCTCATATTCTTATGACTTGCTTATAAGCTGAATACTTGCTATCACAGCCTTTCTATATTTGAACACTGTGTTATATTTTCAAAAGAAAAATCAAGATGTTTTTCTGTATTAAAAATCTTATGTCTGCACATAATTCCTGAATAAGTAGTGTTACTTCCTGCTATCAGTTTTGCCCATCATCAATTCCTTTGTCCACATCGACAATGATGTGGAGGTGCCGGTGTTGGACTGGGGTTGGCAAGGTCAGAAATCACATGACACCAGGTTATACCTATTGGACTATAACCTGGTGTCATGTGATTTCTGAACCACACCTGCAGTGAAAACTGCAGATGGAAACATGTCTGTGTAGTTATACGTATCTTTCAGTTGTGGTGCTATTGAGTTAGATTTATGTTTTTCAGCTCCTCTACCTGCATAGTAAGGAAACTCTTTCGTAAAAGATTCCCCATATTCTAACCAGCTCCATGTCAAATCTTATAAGGGCCTGAATGACCAGAGCTATATGACAGAGATATGACAGAGTTGTGCCAGAGATCCAGCAAGTCTTATCTTGCCATTGCTGCATCTTCTAACTACATTTGGCGTGTCATGGTGAGATTCTCACCAGGCAATGGCAAGTTACTTATTAAGGGGGATTATTACTTGTTAACAACCTTATTAACTGTACATCTCATTAATATACAGCTTCCTATCTGACCACCCATTGCGAGCAAATTAGACGCTGAGAATTCTCAACATGTGGCTTGCCTTGCTGGTCAGCAGTCCTCAGTCTAGAGGTCAGACATTTTGCAGCGTGCTACGTCAGTCCCACTGTACCAGCAGTTCATGTAGCAGACACACAGAATGTGGTCCAACAGGCAGCCAATCTTTCAAAGTCTTAGCGGAATAGTCCTCACTGAAGTCCATGGAGACACCAGTCAATCAGGGAACCTGGCACAGAATGTGAAGGGGAACCTTCAATATCAACCAGGAAATTCGCCACCATTAGGCATCTGGTCGGGGTGTTTGTACTCAGGGGTCCATGGCTCTGGAGACTGGGGAGTGGGTCATGGTCAGTCTTGTGGTCCCATAGTGGTCAGCCCACAGGTGGAGCTAATACAGTCAGGGGGTTGTACAGGCAAGAGGCAGGGTTCTGGGCACTTCTCATCCAGGGTTTACCCAGTTAGAACTCTCAACGGGGTTGGCCGCAGTCAGTCTGTCGGGTTTGTTCAGAGAAACTAGGGAAAGGCAGGAGCATTCCCATGAGACCGTGACTCAGGAACCTCTTCCTGGCAGGCTTGGGGTTGGGGGGGTGTTGGTGGAGGTGGGACGGATGACAGGTGTGAAGAGCGGGGAGATAGTTTTTGTGAAGCAGGTTGGGAATGGGGCTACATGGCAGGGAGGATTTATCCACAGGTAACAAGGTGTGGAGCTGGATGAACACGGCAGGTCAAGCAGCATCAGAGGAGCAGGAAAGCTGACGTTTCGGGCCTAGACCCTTCTTCAGAAATGGAGGAGGGGAAGGGGATTCTGAAATAAATAGGGAGAGAGGGGGAGGCGGATAGAAGATGGATAAAGGAGAAGATAGTTGGAGGGGAGACAGACAGGTCAAAGAGCCGGGGGTGGAGCCAGTAAAGGTGAGTGTAGGTGGGGAGTTAGGGAGGGGATAGGTCAGTCCAGGGAGGATGGACAGGTCAAGGGGGCAGGATGAGGCTAGTAGGTAGGAGGTGGGGGTCGGACTTGAGGTGGGAGGAGGGCATAGGTGGGAGGAAGGACAGGTTAGGGAGGCGGGGACAAGCTGGGCTGGTTTTGGGATGTGGTTAGGGGAGGGGAGATTTTGAAGCTTGTGAAGTCCACATTGATACCATTGGGCTGCAGGGTTCCCAAGCGAAATATGAGGTGCTGTTCCTGCAATCTTCGGGTGGCATCGTTGTGGCACTGCAGGAGGCCCAGGATGGACATGTCGTCTAAGGAGTGGGAGGGGGAGTTGAAATGGTTCGCGACTGGGAGGTGCAGTTGTTTGTTGCAAACCGAGCATAGGTGTTCCGCAAAGCGGTCCCCAAGCCTCCGCTTGGTTTCCCCGATGTAGAGGAGGCACACCGGGAACAGCGGATACAGTATACCACATTAGCAGATGTGCAGGTGAACATCTGCTTGATGTGGAAGGTCTTCTTGGGGCCTGGGATGGGGGTGAGGGGGGAGGTGTAGGGGCAGTTGTAGCACTCCCTGCGGTTGCAGGGAAAAGTGCCGGGTGTGGTGGGGCTGGAAGGGAGTGTGCAGCGGACAAGGGATTTATCTACAGTCAGCAGCACCCTGACTTCAAGGGGGAAGACACTGATTGTCCACTCTGGTGTCGACAGCTCATGCCAGAGGAAAGGTGGGCAAGACAGGTTCAGGCTCATGTAGATGGGTTAGGTGAGGACTTAAAGAGGTATGAATTCTCTGGGGCTCATATGAAGAGCTACTCAGAAACTCAAACAAACAGATGTATCATAAAACCGATAACATTTATGCAAATATGCCACCAAGGTTTGCTCGAAAAGACTTTTTTTCTTTCTTTGCCTTTCACAACATCTCAGTGCAGTCTCGGGGCCTGCAACTAGAGGGGAGGGAACCTGCGTGGCAGTGGGACCTGTTCATCTCGGCTGCCCCCAGGAGCACGTGTGCCTGCCTGGCCCTCATGTGCCAAGGGTTGTCTTGTCAGAGGCAAAGGGGATCCTCTGTGGTTAGTGAGGCGGGGGCTGGTGCAGCCGGGGATGTGAGGGACCTGGACACCTCTAACCTGAGTGGGTCTGTGTGTGGTTTCTCCTCCAGCTGGGTATCCCCTGGCACTGCCCTGTCTCCTTGTGAGTAAGGGGCACCTGGAGAGCTCTCAACACCATAACCACCCCACCTCCAGTCACCATGCCTGTTGTCCTGAGGACCAGTGGCTGGGGCAATGGAGTGTAGGCCTATGCGTGTA